AGCCGAAGTCGGACGTTTAACTGACTGAGCCACCCAGGCGCCCCGAAAGATCACTTTTAGATGAAAAGCTCAACTGATGAATTATTTTTAAAAATGCAGTATTGAGAGTGAATAGCAGACTGGATACTAATATTTTATAGTTAAGTGTGATACAAGCTTAAGGCAAGATAAGCTTGAGAACTTGTGTTATAATTCAGGGAGAAAAGAGGGTGAGCAAATTAAGAGCTATAGAGGATAAATCTAGGTGATCCAATACACTTACTACAAAAATTCCAGAAAATGACAAATGAGCAGACAGAAGAGAAGAATGTTATGCAAAATTAATGAAAAAATACGTAATGAAATACATATAATAAAATGTCAGTTTCAAGAATGAAGAAAAAAATTGCTTATGCATTCGGCACAAGTGAACACTGATTACCTCTAAAAAGAAGAAAAAGTTCAGATTTTCTGCTTTTTTAAATATCAGAAGTTAATGGAACATCATATATTAATTGTTACCTAAAATTCCTTAGGTCTGCCAAGATTTTCTATGTATAAAAACAACAGCCATTTTTAGATAATAAGTATTCAGTGTATGAGAACCCATGTACTCTTCTTTAAAGAAATTATAAGAATTAGGATTCTATCATAAGACATCAATCCAAGTAAAGATCTCAAGAATGGGAAAGTTGTGATATGAAAGAAATGGTTCTGAGCAGTGAACCAGCAAGGCTCAGGATTAATGCCAATGTAATTAATGTGTTTCTGAAATAATGCAAAATGTTAGTTATTAAGAGATTATAAGAATATAAATGATCTTGAAATAAAAGTCCAAGTGGTAAATGTCTGACTCTTGATTTTGGCTCAAGTCATGATCTCTTAGTTAGTGAGATCAAGCCCCATGTTGGGCTCTGAGCAGACAGTGCCCAGCCTGCTTGGGATTCTCTCTCTCTCTCTCTCTCTCTCTCTCTCTCTCTCTCTCTCTTTCTCTCTCTCTTTCTCTCTTTTTCTCTTTGCCCCTCTCCCACTTATGAGAGCATGGGCACACTCCAATAAACTTTAAAAAATAAAAATTAAAAAAAGTACAAGTGGTTAACATAGACTAGGAAGTATATACATGTAAACTCTATTAACAAAGCAAAAGATATATTTTACATTTAAAAAAATGGATGGATGGGGCGCCTGGGTGGCGCAGTCGGTTAAGCGTCCAACTTCAGCCAGGTCACGATCTCACGGTCCGGGAGTTCGAGCCCCGCGTCAGGCTCTGGCTCAGAGCCCGGAGCCTGTTTCCGATTCTGTGTCTCCCTGTCTCTCTGCCCCTCCCCCGTTCATGCTCTGTCTCTCTCTGTCCCAAAAATAAATAAACGTTGAAAAAAAAAAAAAAAATGGATGGAAGGGTGTCTGGCTGGCTCAGTTGGAAGAGCATATGACTCTTGGTCTCAGGGTCCTGAGTTCGAGCCCCATGTGGGGTGTAGAGATTAAGTAAATAAAAACTTACAAAAATGGATAGAGATAGATATATATACACAGACATATACTAAAATGTGAATTGTGTGGGGCTAGTAAGGCTAAAGAAAATTTTTTTTCATTTTACTTTTGCTCATCTATATTTATACTTTTTTTTTTTTGCCTACCATTTGTATATATTATTGGCCTTGGAATAAGAAGACAAGCCAAACTTCTTTAAAAAAAAAAAAAAGACTTAACACTTATGATGAGCACCGAGTAATGTATAAAATTGTTTAATCACTGTACTATGTACCCGAAATTAATATAACACTGTATGTTAACTATACTGGAATTAAAATTTAAAAACTTGATTTAAAAAAAGGACTTTTAAGACATTAATGGGAGTTTTTCCAGATTATTTTTTTTAATTTGTTTATTTACTTATTTTTGAGAGAGAGAGGAGGAGGAGGAGGAGAGGCAGAGAGAAAGGGAGGAAGAAAATTCCAAGCAGGCCGTCAGCACAGAGTGTGGTGTGGGGCTCAATCCCACGAACTATGAGGTCGTGACCTGAGCCGAAATCAAGAGTCAGATGCTTAAGTGACTGAGCCACCCAGGTGCCCCAGATCATTGGTTCTTTTATTAGTGACCTGAGAGTGACCAGAGAGTGATTAGTGACCTGAGAGTGATGTCCTGGAATGTTGGTGGTCACTGGCTTTATTTAGACGAGGCTGAAGAGCAGAAGAAGAGTAAGTGGATGTTGTCTGACCTGATGATCATGAAAGGGGGGCCAATGGGAGAAGACTAAATGATTTATTTGTTCTGGGTTTGAGCCCTATGAGCTGCTGGAATGAGGCTCTCTGACTAATGGGAGTAGTGGCCAAGTGCATGAAATGGGGAGGATTAGGAAATTGTGGATGCCACCTTCAGTGTTTTTGCTATTGTTGATGTTTATTTCATTTGAGGCCCTTTTTCAGGAAAGCCATCATCTGGCCTTGGTCCCGTCGAATTGGCAGCTGTCATTGCTGGACCAGTCTGCTTCGTCTGCATCTCACTCATGTTAATGGTTTATATCTGCCATAATCGTACTGTCATTCACCATCGAGTGCCAAACGAAGAGGATCCTTCCTTAGATCGTCCTTTTATTTCAGAGGGCACTACGTTGAAAGATTTAATTTATGATATGACAACATCAGGCTCTGGATCAGGTAACGTACTTGTTTTTCCTTTTTCCTAAGAAGTCTTTTAAAGATTAAGTGTATTATTTATTAGTTGGCTAAGCCAATTGGCGTATTGTGTTTAAAACTTAAGATAGTGTAAATACTAATTCCAGCTTTAAGGCCAGTTAAGGTCTGCGGCTAATTCGTCGTAGATGAATTAGAATGTACTTTTAATGTTGAAGTAAGTTTGTAAGTCATCTTCATGTTTGTATAAATTTCAAAGCTTTCTCACCTTCTTATGACTCCCATGAGATAGAAAGAATAAGGACAATTAATTTCTTAGGAGTGAGGCTGAAGTTCATAGATGTTCAAATGATCTGTAGCTACCTACTCTATTCAGGATTGTTTACCAGCTTTATTTTGATGTTTGAAAGCAAACATGGCAGAAAATGTTTTTGGAATTTTTAAGGTTATTTGCTTTTTTAACATATGAAATTGCTGTCCTTAGCTCAGACCTAGTTTTTTTGTTAAACGAATTGGTTTTCTCACTTTAGGAAAATGTCTAACCACCTTGTTATTTAATATAGCTTTATGGATCCATGACCTCTGTGATGTTTGCTTTTCTCAGTTCCATTTGCTGATTCTTGTGGTTTCAGAAGTAGACTGGCTAATTGCCAGAATCATCTCTTGAAGTGGATTTTGGTATGGCAGTACTTCATGTTTAAACTGAAAGGGATTTATTTTTTCAGTTGCATGAGCTTGAAAAGACACTGAGAGAGGAAGACCCCTGTCCTCTATAATAGTATAATTTGACACTGGGCTAGGAATCAAGAGATCAAGATTCTGGTGCAAGTTTTGTCGTTGGTTGGCTCTCTGACCTTGGTTAAACCGTATTTCTTCTTTTGGGCTTCTATGTCCTCATCACAAATTTGGAGCAGATACTGAGAAACACTGTCTTTTGAAAAGTATAAATCAACTTCAGATAAAGCCTGGATTCATGGATAAAATGAAGATTTGAAAATATATATGATGAAAATTCCACTAATTTTATAATCAAGTAACTAAAGGAACATTAAAGCAGAAGTTGTGATTGGAGTAGGAATAGGACTGAAGCATGAAATCTCATCTGATACCAACAAAATTTCACACTGTGACAAATGTCTGTTTATTTTAAGGAAATGAATATAGATTTATACGCGTATCTGTTTATTCATTTAAGCGCGAGGAAACCCGCTTCTTGGCCTGAAGTCTTCCATGGACTTTGGCCATATATATTCAGTAAGTGACTTGTGTCCATGACACTAGTACACACACAGGCTTGTGCTGCGACTCAGGTCTCTCAAGGCAGCCTGTAGGGACCTCTGAGATCGTTGTGAGCAGGGAGGCAGTGAGAGGTTGGACTGAGATAGAGCAGCCTTGGTACTGAAGTGTGATAGTCTTTGGGCCGGAGTGCTAAGAGGAATGGAGAGAGCTTGTTTTAAGGCTTCTCTGGGGTTTTCCACTGATTCTGAGTATAGTCCAGAGGGTTCCCAAGGAACATCTGGCTCATTCTAGAAGTCACCCTAGGCCAAAAAACTATGATAAGCAAAGACCAAAGTCACAGAAAATCAGAGTGGCTACAAATCATTTGGAATTCATTCCTTATTGCCATACTTCCTGCATAGCAGTAATGTATCAGGCCTCAAGGGGAATAAGCCCACCTAAAGCATTAGAAGAAGTTGCTGTCTGCATGGCAGCTGATTTCTGAATAAGAATACATTTATTAACCTTTTAAGATACAGACATGAAGTAAAGAATGAAATTCTTCTTTTTCCATTTTATCTGTATTTCTAGATACATCGGGAACTACAACTCTGCTGTCTGAAACTTTCTTTCTCTCCTTTTATGCTCCACCCTGCAAAAACTGGTCTACACTGTTTGCTAGCCCTGTGGCTTTGGGCAGTTAGCTGATGTCTCATGCCCAAGTTATTTTATCTTTAAAATGAAAGTAATGAACCCTGCCCTCTGCACGTCATTGGATTGTTGTGAGGTTCAAATGAGACAAGATGTTCTGATAAATTGTAGTTAGGTCCAAATGACAGGTGTTACTCTTATTGGAAAGGCATTTGGAAGAAGAATCTGACATGCAGTATAATTTGCTGCATTACAAAAAAAAACTTAGTTGAAGGCCTCCTTTCCCTGTCATAGTTCATTATGTGCTGAATAGCCTCCAAATTTATTGAGACAGAAGCTATCTTATGTAGAATGATAGCAGAAAATGCCACTCGTTTACCTTCTATTCATTATAAAGCCTTAGTCTCATGCATGGGACTCGTGACTGTGAGTAAAATGCCTTTACATAAAAGCCTTTTTAGCCCTTTCACTCACTGAGAAAAGATGAAACTAATCATTTCATGTTATGAATTCATATGTTCATTATTCAGTACCATGACCATAATGGAGGAAAGGCCTGATCTCTGTTTCTCAAAAACTGTGTCTTTAACTTGGAAACCGTGGGCAGCTCTACCCCTGAAGCTAGCCTGATCCCTGTTGCGTTTATCTGAATCACAGGCTGTATGTGGGCCCTTATTTAAGCTGTCATTAGATTGTAAACTATGTGTGAGCATGTGCATGTGTGCCAGTTTGGGGAAGAGAGTAAGTCTCTTAGGCCACTGTTCATTATGTCTTGTTCATGCTTATGGTCTCCTAGAATGTACGTGGTTGTTCCGGTCTCGTTTTTCTCGTTTGCTGCATGTGAAGCTGCTTGGACCCTGTCTGCATATTGATGTTTCTCACAAGCATTTCTAAGGATACAGAAGAGGAAAGCAGATAACATAGAGATTTGAGTTAGGCCTGTTTCTTTTTCTCTTTAGAAGAAAATTATTACTTTTTAAAAATGCTCACTTATTCATACGGGTTGTGGTAACTAAATATAGATAATATGACAGATCTAGATTTGGTTTTGAATTTTAGGTTGGGATCTAGAATGCAGTGATGATGGGGAGACAAAAACTTTCCCCTTTCTTGACTGTATCATTTACACGAGGCCTGAATGTGTTAGACGTTTTCATCCTTCCCATTTGCAGTTCCCCTTTCTCTTGTACTCCTTGCCTTTTTTTTTTTTTTAAAGTTTATTTGTCTGTTTTGAGAGAGAGAGAGAGAGAGAGAGAGTAGGTGAGGGGCAGAGAGGAAAAGAGAGCATTGCAAGCAGGCTCCAAGCTCAGTGCAGAGCCTGATGCGGGACTCAGTCCCACAACTGTGAGATCACGACCTGAGCCGAAATCACAAGCCTGCCATTTAACCAACTAAGCCACCCAGGTGCCTATCCTTGCCTTTCTAACTCCCAGAGTCACTTCATGAAGTTAACTCTTAAGTATACTTTATATCTTTAGACGTGTGACCCCATTCAAAGGCTTTAAGAAAATCTTGTGAATTAGTATCTATACTAAATAACATAACTAAGAATTGATTATTCATAATATTAAAAAGCTCCGTGATTTAAATAAGAAATTTTCACAGATCTATTTTTAGCTAGCAGCCTCCTTATCAACAAAAACAATTGCTTATAATTAGACTGCTAACTACTTTGCAATAGGTGGGGAGGATAAAGAGCAAGGAGAGAAAAGGACCCATTTGAGAAACTTCTAGATGAAAAGAGGAAAAACTTTCTGGTCACTTTAAAGCAAAAACTTAATGTTCTGATTAATAAGCATTTTATACTAGGAAACCAAGAGAGCACATATTTTCATTAACTATCATTGGATTAATTTGGTCTACCAAGCAATTCTGAATATAGATTATAAATTACATAAATTTACGTGTATAGGTCATATAAATAAAATACAAGTGTAGAACATAGTTTATACTGGTATTTTTACTGTTAGGGTCAGTATAATTTAAGATGACATTTCCTTAGTCCATAGGGGATGTGATATTAAGTGAACTGGAATAGTTCCAAATACAGTGTTACTTAAATGTTGTAGATAGTGATAAATCCTTTTCTGTAAATGAGTGAGTGTGGCAATATTTTAAAAATACATATTTTAGAGTAGGGCATGTTCAGATGGTGAAATAATGCCAATGTCCCATCACCAAGTTATAAGTTACTTGGCATCGTTCTTTAAGATACTAATGTTGCCTAGGCAGCCAGTTCCTAGCAAGTAAGTTGCTTGTCTTGAAATGATTCCTGTGATAATTTTTACTGATTTATTAAAACCAGTATGGATTGGGGCGCCTGGGTGGCTCAGTCGGTTAGGCGTCCGACTTCGGCTCAGGTCATGATCTCGCGGTCCGTGAGTTCAAGCCCCACATTGGGCTCTGTGCTGACTGCTCAGAGCCTGGAGCCTGTTTCAGATTCTGTGTCTCCCTCTCTCTCTGACGCTCCCCCGTTCATGCTCTGTCCCTCTCTGTCTCAAAAATAAATAAACGTTAAAAAAAAAAAAACCAGTATGGATTGTACATACTGATTTTATGTTTCTTGTATTCACATACTTTTCTTCTCCCATCAATAAAACCATTACTACATTTATCCTTCTAAGATAAGATCTTTAAATTACTTCTCCTCATTCCCCTCATGGGCCCTTTTCAGAAATTTTTAATAGTTCCTGTTTTATCCACAGCTCTCATTGGTCGTCTTGGGCTCAACATTCAGTACTCATCATACTCTTGTGGACAGCTTCCCTTCTCTTCCATTGCTTTACCATGTCCATCCCCGTCTGTGTGTCCAAGCTGGTTCTGTAAACATCCATTCATTTTCCTCTTCTACCTCTGCTTGAATATTCCTCCTACCTAAATTCTTAGCTCCTCTTATCCTTTGGTCCTATCCCTTCTGTAAAGGACAGTCAAAATTCAATTTAGTGTACAAAGTCTACCTGGACCCTCTAGGCAGGAGTTTCTAGATTCTTATATTTATTATTTTCATTTTAAATATGAATTGTTGTTTTTGTAAATAAAGTCTGTGTCTCCCAGTGAGACTGTAAGCTCCTTAAAGATAGAGCTGTAAGAGTTATTCTGTTCCTGAGTCACTCTTTAATGCCTATGCTTATCTTTAGGTTTACCATTGCTCGTTCAGAGAACAATTGCAAGAACTATTGTGTTACAAGAAAGTATTGGCAAAGGTCGATTTGGAGAAGTTTGGCGGGGAAAATGGCGAGGAGAAGAAGTTGCTGTCAAAATATTCTCCTCTAGAGAAGAACGCTCGTGGTTCCGTGAGGCCGAGATTTATCAGACCGTAATGTTACGCCATGAAAACATCTTGGGATTTATAGCGGCAGACAATAAAGGTCAGTAACAGTTCCTTCTCCTTTGAGTAGAATGAAATCTACTTGAGCCTTTCCACAGATATGGCTACTAAACATTGTCAGATTGGGTGAGAAATCAATGTTTGCCATACAGATTAGACCCATTAAGTCAAATAGAATATATTAGAAGCCTTTAGAAACTGGAACTTCTTAAAGATTTTCTTGACTCTTGACTACATGTTTCTAAATCTCTAATTGTTTTTATAAAATATAAAGAGCAATGTATATTTTTTAAAAGCGATGTTCTTTTTTTTCTAGGCAGTTAGTTATTGAGTATAGTCATAACATAGAAAAAATTTTATAAACTCTGGTTGCTCAAAATTGAGATAGGATAGAGCCCAGAGATCTGTTTCCTTTAAATTTCCTCATGACTGTTAGGGCATTCTGATCTAGAGTAATGACCGTATTTATAGGAAGAGTGAAAATAACTGCTCAGTGTATTTTGTGTTTTAAATTGCCAGGGGCTGAGTAGCCTTTTAAATAAATAAAATAAACTCAGTTAAATAGAGAAATAGTTTGTCCAAGACCACCTTGCCTATTGGTGATCATTCGGACGCTTTCTTGCCTGTGGCACAGATCCGATGCCGCAGGAAGCAAAGAAGCCACGTCAGTGGAGAGTCAGAATGAGTGTGACTGCAAGCAGTGGCTTCAGAATGTCCTTCGCCTACTGTCTTGGCTTCAGTTACTACTGTCGTGTCCATTGTTCCTGCTTCCGTAGCTTCATCAGAGACTTGTGTTAGAGCTCCTGTCATCCCAACCCAGAATCAGATGTATTTCCCAGCTTTCCTACTTTTAAAAAATGTTATCATTTTCTTGTTTAGATTGACCAGAACCATAGTCCTCTTTTTCATCCTCTCCCTTCCCATTTTCCTCAACAGTATTTCTTCAGAATATTAAGTGTTGATGATTTTTCCTTTTGCTTCTCTGTATTTTCAAACTTATTTGCAGTAAGCATTTATTACTTGGGTTGTTTTGATTTGTTTTTAGTTTTCAGTTATAGAAATTTTCCGGTATATAGAAAAGTGAAGTGAGTAGAGTATAATGAATGCCTGTCACTTAGCTTCAACAGTGATTGTTAGCTCATTGCCTCACATTTGATCTCTGATTCCACCTCCTGCCTCTGTCTGAATTATTTGAAGCCAAAGACATGATAATGGATCTTTTCTCTGTAAAAATTTTTAATTTTCATCTTTAGATTAAGGAATCTTTAATGAAACATGACCACACGACCATTGTCACTTTTTAAAATGTCATCAGGTATCTAGTCACTTTCAAATTTCTGCGGTTGTCTTTTTTTTTTTAAATAATGGGTCATTCACTTTACGAATAACTTGAGTTCACACATTGCACTTGTCACTTTGTGTCACTTTAGTCCACACAATGCGTTTGGTTGATAATTATCTTAGATTTAAAATTGCTTAAAACTTAAACTTAAAATTGCTGTGTTCCCTCTTAATCTTTTTTTTCTTCATGCAGTTTATTTGTTGAAGAAACTGTACTGTTTGTCCTGTCTGGCTCATTCTGGACTCTGTTGATTGAGTTTCCATAGTATCTCAGAACTTGCTCCTTGTAGTTAGAATTAGAGACTGAATCTAATTACATTTTATTGGTTTCTTGGTGATATTGTATACCTTCCTGTATATTGTATACTTCCTATGTATCACATCAGGAGGCATATAATATTTGATAATCTCTTGTTTGTGACCTAGGGTTAGTGATGGGTGTGATGGATGTGGGCAGTGATTTATCGGTGGTTACTACCAGTTCCATATTACTTAACTTAAAAACAGATAAACAAAAGCAGTGATCATTGTTTGACCAAGTCCTTCATTTTCATTTTCTTCTGCCTTTTACGTCATTTAGCTTCCTCTCCAACCCTTAAAAGGACCTTAAAAATAATGTTCCGTGACTAGATTTTCTGTCATTTCTTATTTCTTAGTAGTTGTCTTTGTTTTCTTAAACCCTTCTTACTGATTCCTATGAGAGCTCTATGTCTATGAACAATAATTGCTCCTTTGAAGAACTTACCCACATGCATAGTTTCTAACTTGGCTGTGGTGGTTGCTTTCAAATCTGTATTTTGGGGCTCTAAACGCACCCAGGCCCAACCTGTTTTAGGCGTATTTCAAGTTGCAAACACACTGGCACACGGTGCCCTTGCTCTGTGCCCTGGCCTTTCTCTTCCCATTTGCTCAGGCCGCAGCCAAGCTTGTGCTGTCCTCTGGTGGTCAACATGGGAACTGGCTGCCCCTGCTGCATCTTCCCTGCCCTCTCCTCTTTTCTTTGTCAGGGGTTAATGGACTTTGCCCAGAACCTAGTCCATCCACCCCAATTCCCTTCTCCTTTATCCTTATCCCCCTGAGTTAGTTAATTCCACCTGAGACAATCCTTTATATTGCTCAGCCTCTTCCTTCTCCCTCTTCTGCCTTTCTTGCTAATTACCTCAGAAAACCTCCCTTTCTTCCATCTGCCTGTGTTCCTATTTGTCAGCCTTTCAGAATTCAGTCTTGATTAGTAAGTATGCAGATCAAGGTAGTGATGCATCTGTGTCAAAGGAAAGAAAAACGTGTAAGTTTGAATAGAATTCATTTGTACAGTTTATGAAGAACAGTTTATAAAGAACTAGTGTCATGAATATCTAAACTCTTTTGGAAAGTACCCAGAAATACCCTCTAGAATCTTCTGAAAATACCTTTCTTATTCTCTTCTAATCAGAGTTGCTTTCCTTCAAGTAAAAACCTTCAAAATATAGATGCTGTTTTATGTCAGTTGTGTGGGTTTTTTTTTTTTTTTACAACCAGTAGGGTAGGAAACATCACATTTACAAAAATTATTTTAATTTTTCATTTTTTAGGGGGAGAGAGCGAGCACAAGTGGGGGAGAGGGGCAGAGGGAGACAGAGAATCTTAGGCAGGCTCCATGCTCAGCATGGAGCCTGACGCCGGGTATGATCCCATGACCCCAGGATCATGACCTGAGCTGAAATCAAGAGTCGGACCCTCGACTGATTGAGCCACCCAGGTGTCACAGGAAAACAGGAAACTGCCTATTTTAAGTTCTTGTGTGCCATGAGTTACACTAACTGCTTAACTAATTATCTTATATTTTAAATTTTAACACTTTTGCAAAAGTAAGGTATTCTTAACTGTGTAAAAGAAGAAACAGAGGCTCATTGGTTACAAAACTTATCTGAGGTCACATAATCCATAACAACGAGGCCCTGGCTTTCACTCCAGGTCAGAATGACTCCAAGCCTGCATGTTTTACTGAATTGTGCTACCTCCTAGTATTGTCGTAATGCGTGATTTCACGAAATATGTGATTTTCTTGCTACTTTTAGGTTAAATAGGCTTTTGTGGACCAGCCTAGCCCGGAAGCCTAGCCAGAATCTTTACCATGATTCCCATGGGAAAACACATTTCAAATCCATGTATCAGTTTACAAGCAACATTTTTGGAATACATATTACTAGTTGTCAAGGTTCAGAATCACCTTATGTAAAACTGGGTTCAGCCCTAGCTTTTTTCCTCTGGACCTTTTAGTTCCTGTCTCTGCTTTCCCATGTGTCAGTGGGAAATACCACAATTTTTATATTTTTTTGTAAGCTGTAAACCTTGGGTTCATAATCCTCTTATCTGGCTTCTTTGTGAACTGAAGGTACAGTCTGTGATAAAGCTTGCATTTCTTCATTTAAGCTCACAGTCAGTTTTGTCCTGTACTATTCCATTCCTACTGTGGCCACACTAGGCTCCAGATACTTCCCATCTTCCTTCCTCTCATTTCCCTGCTCCTTCCAGAAACAACCATCGAGCACCTGACCTGAACCAGACATTTTTCTAGCCACTAAGGAGTCCCCGCTCTGTTACTGTCTGTGTAGGTTCAAGGTCACCATTTTGGAACTATGACTCCTTATCTCTTAAATGGGATTAGTTATCCTTGCCTTATCTCAAGACTAGGGGGCTTACTCAGAGTATCTGAAAGATATCTATGTAAAAGTATAAGACAGACAAAACATGAAGGAAATAATATGCACACTTACGGTACCATCATCATATGTTACAGTTGTGGATTTCAAGAGTAAAAAGAGTAAAAAGTGGTAACTTTTGAATTGATAAATCTTAAATGTTCTACAACCCATCTGAAGCATTGTTATTCTACTCTATAGACAACGGTACATGGACTCAGCTCTGGTTGGTGTCAGATTATCATGAGCATGGATCCCTTTTTGATTATTTGAACAGATACACAGTGACCGTGGAAGGAATGATAAAACTCGCTTTGTCCACAGCAAGTGGACTTGCCCATCTTCACATGGAGATTGTTGGTACCCAAGGTAACTCCAAGTAATTCTGTTATTTAAGCTTTAAATTCCCCTGAATCTAATGTCTGTTAGAAAATTTTTGTGACAGGTCAGCCTAAGTGGAGATGTTTAAAATGAGGTTTTAAATGAAATTATTTTATCTTTCTGTTGAAAATCTCAGGTGGAATTAGCAATGTAGGAATTTGTTTAGAGATTCTCTAGTCATTGTGGCACCACTGACGTGTTCGTGAGTTCTTAAAAGTGGCATGTAGTCTTGTGATTTTGAGGATCTTCATTTTAGAATTAAAGTCTAAAAGAATGTATTTTTATGTGTAGTATCAAATGTAATGTGAAAGATGCTTTATAAAAATTAACATGCTATCTAATATTATCTGGCCATCTCATAATTATATATAACCCTGAGATAAGGAGACTGCATGAGACAGTTTATAGTTGAAAAATTTTAGTTACGAAATTGTTGTGGTATGATTTTTATGCCATGTAGGGTATCAGATGCCAGTATCTCTCTCTCCTGTAGAGATTCTACACTTGCCATCACTCCGCACTTTACTGCACACATGCTGTTTCACATCTTAGCCTCATCTTTGTAATTATTATTGTTGTTGATTGTACCAGCTCCACTGAGTTATAATTCACGTATCATACAATTCACCCATTTTAAGTGTATGGCTCAGTTTTTAGTGTATTCACAGAGTTGTGAATCACTGCAGTCAATTTTAGAACATTTTTCATCACTCCGGAAAGAAATACTGTGCCCATAGCAGTCGCTCCCTATTTCCTCCCAAACTCCTTAGTGACTGGCTTCTTTCTCTTAACGTATTTTCAAGGTTCATCCATGTTGTAGCACATATCAGTGCTTCATTCCTTTTTATGGCCAAATAGTATTCTGTTGTTTGGACGTACCACATCTACCCATCAGTTGATGGACACTTGGGTTGTTTCCACTTTTGGCTGTTGTGAGTAATGCTGCCATGAACATTGGTGTACACTTTTTTTATTTTATTTTTTTGTGTGTGGGCATATATTTTCAGTTCTCTTACACAGTGGAATTATTGGATTATACAGTAATTGATGGTGTTGGGGCACTGCCAGACTGTGACTTTTTTTTCTGAAGTGGCTGTACCGTTTTACATTCCTGCCAGCAATGGAGGAGGGTTCTAGGGTTTCCACACTGTAATTATGATTTTTTAATAGCATGTCTTCCAGTGGTTAGTATTAAAGGTTGTGAATCTAATACTGAGTACATTACAGTTGGGAGGTAGATGAAGTGATGTAGATATTTGGTTCTTAGACTGAAATATCAGTCTGTGACTAGAGTTCTGTAAATAAATCATGAGATGTCAACAAACTAACGTCTTTAACCCCTAGGCTTCGAGTTGTTAGACTTACAGTTTTTGAGCACCATCTTTTAGAGAATCTTATTTTCTCTATGTTTTTTGAAGAAATGTGATTTCAGCAACTTTTGGTATAATGACTTGCTTGGGGTTGTTGAGTAACTGTCCAGGTATTGTGGATGATGCGGGCTGAGATGCTTTGACACTGCGCTGGGACAGGAGTAGAGGCTTTGAACCTAAAGGTGAGAATTGTGACTGGTATCACCTTTTAAATAATCACGTTTAATTTTTGTTTCTTTAGGGAAACCAGCCATTGCTCATAGAGATTTGAAGTCCAAGAATATCTTAGTAAAGAAGAATGGAACTTGCTGCATTGCAGACTTAGGACTGGCAGTAAGACACGATTCAGCCACAGATACGATTGATATTGCTCCAAACCACAGAGTGGGAACAAAAAGGTATACTTGTGAATAGTATTTAATACCTTCTGAAATCAACTTCTTTTTCATTGCCTTCTCATTTGTATATACGTATCTTCTGAAACTCAAACCTGTACTTTATTAGATTGCCCACAGGTAGAAGATCTCATGGTCTTGCCTGCTCTGAAGCCAAGGTTACCTGACTTTAAAAGATGCCTGCTGATGAAAGGTGGCCCTTCCAGAATATTATCATTAGTTATATTAATTATAATAACAATATTAGCTGACGTTAATAGGCTGCCCAGTATGTGCCAGTCATTTTAATGGGTCTTGTATATATATCATCTCAGTTAATGCTCTCCTTATATGCTGTACTGTAGCTAGCCCAACCATTTCCTTATTTTATTATTTTTAAAAAATGTTTATTTATTTATTTTGAGAGAAAGAGCAGGGGAGGGGCAGAGAGAGAGGGAGAGATAGAATCCCAAGCAGTCTCTGTGCTGTTCGCACAGAGCCCAGCATGGGGTCCAATCCCACAGACTTCAAGATTGTGACCTAAGCCAGAATCGGGAGTCAGATACTTAACCAGCTGAGCCACTCAGGTGTCCCCATTTTCTTATTTTTAGTTCCTGAGAATACACCTTTCTTTCTTCCTCAGAATTTTTGCATGTGCTGTTTCCCTGATTTGTCCTCACCCTTCCTTTCTCATAGGAAGCCTTTTCTCGACAGTGAAGTGCCTTACCAAGGGCTCTCAGCAGGCTGAACCTGGACGGTTAAGGCACTTAGCACATTGTAATTCTCCATTTATCTGTCTGTATATTCCACTGGATGGCAAGCTGCTTGAGAGCAGCCTTGGATTCCCAGTATCCGTTACAGTGCTTAATACAGAGCAGGTCTTCAGTAAACATTTGTTGAATCCATGAATTTCAAAAGAACATAACTAGGTAGGTGTCCTTGTCCTCATTTCATAGATGAGGAAACAGCCCCATGGAAGTTAAATAATGAGGCCAGCCTCATAAGGATGGTAACCTGAAGAGCTGAGATTTGAACCTCGGCCTTTCTGACCCAAAAGGCCTTACTCTGTATCACAGCATGTTGCCACAACATATGTTCACACTACTGCCTCGGCTTTGGATAGAGCCAAGCTTCATTCTTTCTCAGTTGTATCTGTGATTTCTGGATTCAACAGGGACTCTCAGAACTTTTGACTTAGGGTCCAGGACAGTGGTTGCTGCAGATCAGGTCTTCGTGGATCCTGATCTCTAACTTTAGTAGGCTTTTTAAAACTTGAAAACCCTACAATGTGGCATCAATAGGAGGACTGGCAGGAGCCTGGGTGGCTCAGTTGGTTAAGTGTCTGACTTGATTTTGGCTCAGTTCATGAGTTTGAGCCCCACATTGGGCTCTGCACTGACAGTGTGGAGCCTGCCTGGGATTCTGTCTCCCTTTCTCTCTGCCCCTCTCCCACTTGCTCTCTAAAAAATAGGAGGACTGGCATTCATTTTTTCCTATTATTTTGTTCCCTGGATTATGTCTTCGTCCTTCCTTTCATCCTCTTCTAGTGAGAAGATTTCTAGATTAAAATGTATGGTCCCTGCATAGTACTTGACAAAGTAGGTGGTATATGTTAGGACATTTATAATAGTCATGGTTATTATATGTGTGTCTTTCATTGGAAACTAAGATCATTAAGGCAGATAGCATGAAATTGCTGTTTCAACTTTTCATGGGATTTAGTTGACATCAGTAATTTTCAAATCAGTATGGATATTTAATATTTTTGAGGGTAATATGATCTTAGTTATGTAATATTGTATGTATATGTCCATATATAGAGAGAGATATCTGCAAGGATGTTGATCAAAGTGTTAACACTGGGTGGTAGTAATGGAATGATTTTTTACTTTGTACTTTATGAACTTTGGGAAAATTTCTATAAGAAGTGTACTTTTAAAAAGTAGCAGAACCATGCCAAAAGGGAAGAAAAATCTCAGAGGTAATACTGGTAATACTGATTTATTTTATTTTATTTTTTTAATTCTCAGGAGAAAAAAATCTATGAAAGAATTCCAAAGTATTGTGGCCACCATTACATAAAGTAAAATGCTGACTTCTTTTTTAGGTACATGGCCCCCGAAGTTCTAGATGATTCCATAAACATGAAACACTTTGAATCCTTCAAACGTGCTGACATCTATGCAATGGGCTTAGTATTCTGGGAAATAGCTCGACGATGTTCCATTGGTGGTAAATTTCTCCCCCTCCCCCATTAGTTTGTCATGAACAGAGAAGCTGTTCAGGGATAGCCTTGTTTTTTTTTTTTTTTTAATTAAAAACATTTTTGTTTAATGTTTATTAATTTTTGAGAGAAAGAGTGTGAGAGGGGGAGGGACAGAGAGAGAGAGAGAAGACAGAATCCAAAGCAGGCTCCAGGCTCTGAGCTATCAGCACAGAGCCTGACACAGGGCTTGACCCATGAACTGTGAGATCACGACCTGCGCTGAGGTCAGACACCTAACCGACTGAGCCATCCAGGTGCCCCTAGCCTTTTTTTATTGAGTGTGATTACACATATCAGCAGTGATCACTGAGAGTGCCAAAGAAAATAAAGGAGATAAAATCTGTGGTGAGAGGAAATGACATGACACACTTATTCTAGTGTATTCTTTTTCTATTTTCCATTTAAATCTTGGGAAGCATCAGAAACCAAGCCCTTGTTATCTTGACATATAGTTATTTAGAGTGGATGACTACTTGAGAGGCCACCCAGGAAGCTGTTTCTAAATTATAACTGGGTCAAACTCATTTTCCCCCCTGAGATTGTGGGTATTTTGTCCAACTTCATAGCTGGAAGTTACAAATACAGAATACAGTTATATCACCCTTACACTATGTTTTAAACTAAGTTTTAACTTAGGTTTAGTTTTAGATTGAGAAACTCCCATATTTACTTGAGGAATAGTTTCTTATCCTTGGGGGCCCAGGCTTGGTTGAGACTAAGGTCTCAAGTTTATGTAACAGTAAGAGGGGGAGCATGTCTCTTGTAGTGAAGAAGACAGATCCAAGTAGAGGTAAAGGACTTGCACCTCCGATTTGCTTGTAGGATTTACATCTCCGTGGTAGAGTGTAGATCCCTGTGCCAAGTGAGAGGGTAAGCGCTCACAGAATAAAAACTCTCATTTTTTGTACCATAGAGTTCTATAGGAAACTGTCAATCTGGTCAACATAGCTCATGGTTAACCATCGTCAGAATAGCCTTTGATGGGGCACCTGGGTGGCTCAGTCAGTTAAGCGTCTGACTTCGGCTCAGGTCATGATCTCGCGGTCCGTGAGTTTGAGCCTCGTGTCAGGCTCTGTGCTGACAGCTCAGAACCTGTTTCAGATTCTGCGTCTCCCTCTCTCTCTCTCTGACCCTCCCCCATTCATGCTCTGTCTCTGTCTGTCTCAAAAATAAATAAATGTTAAAAAAAAATAGCGTTTGCTGATCCCATGGTGATATTTAGTTGCAAGCTGTACTGGACCCAGTACCAACTCAGAAAGATGGGTTGTTGATGCAGATGTGGATGAGACAGACCAAGCCATAAGCACTTAGCTAATTCATGAATGGAACCCTGAATAGGACTCTCAGGTGTTCCTTTTCTGTCTGGACAAAGAATGGTCTGGCATTATCAATAAATTCTTCAAAATTGTTGTTGTTGTTTTTAACCAATATAGGAATTCATGAAGATTACCAGCTGCCTTATTATGATCTTGTACCTTCTGATCCATCAGTTGAAGAAATGAGAAAAGTTGTTTGTGAACAGAAGTTAAGGCCAAATATTCCAAACAGATGGCAGAGTTGTGAAGTGAGTATTTCTTTTGGATACTATACAATTTTCTAAACTGTTTCTGCTTCTTAAGTGGAAATTTGCCTCTTTCTTTTTTAAGGAAAATAGACACAAGAATTTTCTTTTTCTTTTTTTCTTCCTTCCTTCCTTCCTTCCTTCCTTCCTTCCTTCCTTCCTTCCTTCCTTTCTTTTTTTTTTTCATGGCAATTAAACCAATGAGTGAAAAACAGTTTTCATGTTCAATCTCAAGTCCATCAAAAGGGCCATGGAACATTTGCAGAGGCTGTCAGTGTATCAGAATAGTGTTTAAATCTACCAATGAACCAAGGCATCTGCATTTTATTTTATCTACCTATTTTTGTATCTGTCTTTTACATGGAGTGTTTAATCCTAATGCACTTACCGGTCTGGTTGAATTTAAGTTCACCATCTCTCTCTCTCTCTCTCTCTCTTTTTTTTTTTTTTTTTTTTTTTTTTTTTTTTTTTTTTTTTTGATAAGTACATTCCTTAATCTCTATCACCTATTTAACCCATACCCCCATCCACTGGCCCTTTGGTAAACATCAGTTTGTTCTCTGTAGTTAAGAGTCTATTTCTTGGTTGTCTCTCATTTTTTTTCTTGTTTTGTTTCTTAAATTCCACATACGCGTGAGAGCATATGGTATTTGTCCTTCTCTGGTTGACTTATCTCACTTAGCATTATATCCTCTAGATCCACCCATGTTGTTACAAATGGCAAGATTTCATTCTTTTTTGTGACTGAATAATATTTATCCATTGGTTGCTTCCATAGTTTAGCTATTGTAAATAATGGTGCAATAAATGTAGGGGTACATGTATCCCTTTCAATTAGTGTTTTTTGTAGTTTTGAGGTAAAGACCCAGTAGTGCAATTCCTGGATCGTAGGGTGGTTCACTTTTTAATTTTGGGGGGAATTTCCATACTATTTTCCAAAGTGGCTACACCATAGTGCATTCCCACCAGTAGTGCAAGAGGGTTCTTTTTTCTTCACATCCTCACCAATGCTTGTTTCTGGTTTTTTGATTTTAACCATTCTGACAGGTGTGAGGTGATAGCTCATTGTAGTTTTGATTTGCGTTTCCCCGATGATGAGTGATGTTGAGCATCTTGTGTTTGTAGTCATCTGTATATCTTCTTTGAGAAATGTCTATTCATTTCTTCTGTCCATTTTTTAATTGGATTATTTTGGGGGGTATATAGTTGTATCAGTTCTTTATATATTTTGGATACTAACCCTTTATCAGATATGTCATTAAAAATATCCTCTCCCATTAGTTTTGTTGATTATTTCCTTTGGTGTGCAGGTTTTTATTTTGATGTAGTCCCAATAGTTTATTTTTGCTTTTATTTCCCTTGCCTCAGGCGACATATCTAGAAAATATTGCTACAGCCAATATCAGAGATAATTACTGCCCATGCTCTCTTCAAGAATTTTTATGGTTTCAAGTCTTACATTTAGGTCTTTAATCCATTTTGAGTTTATTTTTGTGCATGGTGAAAGAAAGTGGTCCAGTTTCATTCTTTTGCATGTGACTGTCCAGTGTTCCCAACACCATTTGTCTTTTTCTGATTGTGTATTCATTCCTGCTTTGTTGATTAATTGGCCAAATAATTATAGGTATACTTCTTGGTTTTCTGTCCTATTCTTTTGATCTCTGTGTGTCTATTTTTAGGCCAGTACCATACTATTTGAATTACTACCACTTTGTTATAGAAGTTAAAATCTGGAATTGTGATACTTCCAGTTTGGTTTTTTTGTTTTTGTTTTTGGTTTTCCTTCAAGATAGCTTTGACTGTTTGGAGTCTTTTGTGGTTCCATACAAATTTTAGGATTGTTTGTTCTAGTTCTATGAAAATGCTATTGGTATTTCGAGAGGGATTACATGAAATGTATAGATTGCTTTGCGTAGTATAGACATTTTAACAATATTTGTTCTTCCATCCCATGAACATGGAATGTCTTTCCATTTCTTTGTATCATCTTGAACTTCCTTCATCAGTGTTTTATAGTTTTCAGAGTATAGGTCTTTTACCTCTTGGGTTGAGTTTATTCTGAAATATTTTATTGTTTTCAGTGCAGTTGTAAATGGGATTGTTTTCTTAATTTCACTTTCTGCTGCTTCATTATTAGTGTATAGAACTGCAACAGATTTTAAAAAATTTTTTCAAGTTGATTTATTTATTTATTTATTTTGAGAGTGAGAGTGTGAGTGGGGGAGGGCCAGAGAGAGAGAGAATCCCAAGCAGTTTCTGTATTGTCAGTGCAGAGCCTGGTGAAGGGCCTGATCCCACGAACTGTGAGATCATAACCTGAGCTGAAATCAAGAGTACTTGGAAGTATTCATGCACTCATTAAGTAGAGCACATTATTAAACAGATGGCTTTTTTTTTTTTTTTTTTTTTTTTTTTTTTTTTTTTTTTTTTTTTTAGAGAAAGAGCGAGAGCATGAGCGTGAGCTGCGGAGAGGGGCAGAGGGAGAGAGAGAATCTCAAGCAGGCTCCATGCTCAGAGTGGAGCCTGACGTGGGACTTGATCCCACGAACCTGGGATCATGACCTGAGCTGAAAACAAGAGTCAGAAGCCTTAGTTTTACTGAGTCACCCAGGCGCCTCTAAACAGATGGCTTTTTAAGCATGAGGAAAAGTTAGCAGTTAACATTAAGAGCACACATGCAATTTGCTGAATTAATGCCATCGCTGTCATTTTTGTTTTTTCTCAATTTGATTAGTTTTATATGTACTTTATACTAATTCAGTCTTTCACTTTTGTAGGGTTTTATGAATCTCCTCTCAATAGTTGAAACACAGTAAGAACATGAAACTGATAGAATAACTGAAGAAATGTCTTGCAAAATCTTCTGATACTTTCCAGTCTGGACTTATAGTTCTCTAGGCCCACTGTGCAGCTTTCCCCTTGGGATATCCCTCACCTTTGGTCCTGGGATTACCTTTCCCTTTGTTATGGTGAATATTCTTTCCTGGCTGCATGACTTCCTGTTTCTGGTTTATTCAGGTTCCTCCCTCTTTTAAGTCTCTGCTCAGACGTTACCTTGTTATACCCATTTCAAATATCATCTTCTTTCCCTGGCGTATTTTATCTGCTTCCCTAAATGATGTTTCTCCGTAGCACTTACCACTGCCCGTTCATGTATTTTACTTACTTATTAATTATATGCTTTGGCTCTCTAGAATGTGAGCTTTATGAGGGTAGGGATTTTGTCTGTTTGCTCGCTATTGTATCCCCAGTACCTAGGATGGTATCTGGTAGATGGTAGGCTGTCAGTAAATTTATTATTTTGTTGAATGAGTATATGTATGTGATAGGAACTTGATCCTTTTTATCTGGAAACAAATATTCATTTCTAGAAAATGTCCCTGAAGTATTTCTTTGATTTGTTCTCTTCCATTTTCCTCTGTTATTTTTTTTTTTTTTAAGTTTATTTATTTTGACTGTGAGAAAGCACGAGTGGGAGAGTAACAGAGACAGAGAGGGAGAGAGAGAATTCCAAGCAGGTACTGCCCTGTCAGTGCAGGGCCTGATGTAGGGCTTGAACTCACAAACCATGAGATCATGACCTGAGCTGAAGCCAGGCACTTAACCGACTGAGCCATTCAGGCGCCTCCTCCTCCTCTGTTCTCTTTCTTACAGTCTACTTATGAATGGTAGACCTCTTGAAGAGGCCTTCTAATTTTCTTGTCTTTTCCTCCATCTCTGGTTTTTTTCTACACTTTCCGGGAGGTTTATCAACTTTTATCTTTTTTTATCAGGTTTATTTTCCAATTCTTCTGTCAAGTTTTTCCAAAGTCAAACAAGAAGCAAAAAAACGATCGATGGTAAATCTAACATGAACATTTTCTTTTATCTCCTTAAGGATATTAATGATAAGTTGTTGATGTTTTCTTCTCTGTACAGCTGTTTTTTCCAAGTTGCTTTGTTCTGTATCAGCTTCTGCATTCATATTGCTTTCTCTGGTGTCTAATCAAACTCCTGCTCTCTTCATGTTTAAAAATAGGATGCTAAAAGCCGATGGGAAGCTTTGTGCACATGAAGGGAGCTTATCACCTGTGATCTTTAGGGTGATCTAACTGGGTTACTCGCTTGGAGAGCCACTGATGGCAGTATCTTCAGGTCTTTCCACTTGGGCTCGCATTCCCCAGAGAGGACTCTTACAGTCTCTTGCCTGGAGGAGTGTCTACAGGTTGTGGCCTGTGTTTTGGGGAGAAAGCTTATGGTCTTCTCATTTAGTGAGTTGTCAGTATGGAACTTTGCCCCCATGTTCCCCAAGTCAGAAATCTCTGCTTTACCCTCTCAGATACAAATCTCTAGTCTTTTGCTGGTGGGGGGCTGCAGTCACCCAACTATGTGATGCTCAGGGAAGGGCAAGGATCTGGGGTTCCAGCTCTTTTGGCTGATCCTATTTTTAGCTTGCACTTCACCTCAGAGGAACTCAGTGCAGTTAATTCCTCGGTTTTTGGGGGCGTTTCAGTGTGAGTCAAGTTCCTTATTTGCCATGTACAACTCTGGTTTAGGATTCAGATTTTTTAGGTCTGCTAATAAGTAAGTCACCCCTTGTCCATCTGCTTTCCAGCTGCTGACAGCAGTACCCTACTGAAGGGAATTGAGGAGGTTTCTATTCATTTGTTATTACAGATAATGCTGAAACAAACAAAAACTTGAAAGTATGTCACTTGGAAAGAAACTGTACAGAGTCAAGATCTAATCCAGATGAGTGGAAAGTGGTGCATGCGTTAACTATAATTTTTCTTCTATTTTCTTGTAGGCCTTGAGAGTAATGGCTAAAATTATGAGAGAATGTTGGTATGCCAACGGAGCTGCTAGACTTACAGCTTTGAGGATTAAGAAAACATTGTCACAACTCAGTCAACAGGAAGGCATCAAGATGTAGTTCTGCGGCTTCGCCTGAACTCTGCTTTTCTTCAGATCTGCTCCTGGGTTTTAATTTGGGAGGTCAGCTGTTCTACCTCACTGAGAGGGAATAGAAGGATATTGCTTCCTTTTGCGACAGTGTAATAAGGTCAATGAGAAACTCCCCAGGATTTCTTTGGACCCAGGAAACAGCCATGTGGGTCCTTTCTCTGCACTATGAACACTTCTTTCCCAGGACAGTTACAAAGTGTTGTGTAGTCTACCTTTATTTTTTATTAACACAAAACTTGGTTGTTGTTTTGTTTTTTTAAAGATGATTGCTGATCTTAACTTTAGGTTAACTCTGCTGTGCTGAAGATCATCTTTAAGGGTAAAGGAGCTGGATTGTTGAGTTACACGAAACATTTCTTATTTTTCAAGAAAGTGATTTTATTCCTGGTTAGTACATTCTCAGAGGATTCTGAACCACTAAAGAGTTTCCTTGATTCAGACTTTGAATGTACTGGTCTATAATTTTCAGGATCTTAAAACTAACACTTATAAAACTCTTATCTTGAGTCTAAAAATGACCTCATATAGTAGTGAGGAACATAATTTATGCAATTGTATTTTGTATACTATTACTGTTCTTTCACATATTCAGAACATTACATGCCTTCAAAATGGGATTGTACTATACCAGTAAGTGCCGCTTCTGTGTCTTTCTAATGGAGATGAATAGAATTGCTTAAAGTCTGTGTGTCTTACAACCTGTAGTATTTTAATTCAAGAAGTTTATTTATCTGGGTAGCCCAGACTTTCTCTGTCTAGTTTTTTGGAGGAATTTTTGTAGTATGTCATTTGGTAGTCCATTTTGAAAATGCCTTTCTCCTACCAAAATGTGCTTAAACCACTAAAGAAATGAAGTGGCATTAATTGGTAAATGTTATCATGGTCATATCTGAATATTCTCACTTCAAGCTTTTGCATTTAAATTGTGTTGTCTAAGTATACCTTAAGTCAAGTGGCACTCTAGATGCTTATAGTACTTTAATAATTTAAAACTTGTAGCCTACAGACTAATTTTTCTAAAAGGGAAAATTTGTCTAGCTGCTTGTGAAAAGTTGTGTGGCATTCTGTAAGCCATTTTTTTCTTTATCTGATCAAAGACAGTGTTATTTTTTTAAGAGATGAATTACATTTAAAATTAGGATATGGTTGATGTTAAATAATAGGTTTTTTTCTAGGAAGGTAAAGGTAATTAATAATTTGAATAGCTAACAGGTGTGCAAGAGAGTCACATTCGTCATGTCGGAGTCAGTGTTCAGTGGGCTTTCTGTCTTTGTAACTAAGGTCAGAGTTCGTGTGGTTCTGGAGTCTCACTACCCTTTGAAGAAGGCAGCTTCTAATTCAGTCTTTCCCTCCGTGTGCGCATACTGTGCACAAGTGCTTAATCTCCATGGTTATGTAACGAGTTCAGTACACCCTTGATTTTTGGGAGTGGTAGCTAAAGAACATTCTGAGTATAGGTTCTCCATTTACAGATGTTTTTAGTCAAATTAAATGTCTCAAGCAAACTCGTCATGGTCTTCACATTAACTTGAAACTAACTTACAATAACTGGTTTTTACTTCCAGTGCTAAAAGTCCTTTAGGGCTTTTATAATTTTCAGAGTTCTCTTTATCACTGTGATCTTATTCTGATGGGAGAGAAAAAACTATCATAGCAATGAGGCAAGACATTGACTTTATACTGCTATCAGTTTCTAAATGAAAGGGTCAGAATAACCTTTACAGTATTTGGTCAGTAAGAGATAGTGGCCATTTACACTGACTGGGCTGCATTCTGATAATGTCTTATCTCTTATACATAGAATAAATTTGAAAGACTATTTGGTCTTAAAGCCAAAGTAATTTTAGAATGAATGACATATACATAGGAATTTAGTGTCAATTTCATGTGTTTAAAAACATCATGGGGAAAATGTGCTTAGAGGTTAATATTTTGACTCCAAATCTGAGTTTTTTCTGTAGTTGCCATGATTTTAATTTTGTCAAAGCAAATGAATGAGTTTGAGGGGTTTGTTTTTATAAATATGTTAGATTTCCTGTTTAATAAACTCTAGCTCTGTGATTATAAGTACCTTTTTTTTTTTTTTTTTTTTTTTTTTTTTTTTTTTTTTTTTTTTTTTTTTTTTTTGGCCATTTCTAAGCCTACCAGATCTGCTTTATGAAATCCAGGGGACCAATGCTAAAACTATTTTTATATAATTTTAAGAACATACCAAAAGCTCTTGTCTGATTTGAAATTGTGATACATAATTTCTCACTTTCCTATAAGGTAAAGTAATCAACTTTTACTGAAGATATTCTTTATTGAATCAAAGATTGAGTTGCAGTTATACTGTTCTTGCCTAAGTGAATAAAATGTACTTTTGGGGAGTCAGGGAATTTTTTTTTAAAGTTGGAGTTTAGTTCTAAATTGGGTTTATTATTGCAGCAAATTCCTTTTTTGGCTAATGAGTTTGATAAACCCCATTTGGCTAATATTGGAAACGGAAGTCACTTAAAAGATGAAATAGATCCTGATTGCTACGGCCATAACTGCAGATAAGTTTGACTAGAGTGTTAATTTTGTCACTCAGAAACACAAGCCTTTGTTTATGCTGCCTGTCTTCAGACGTTCACCTTCCAAGATTAAACTTGGCTTAAAATGTACCTTCAGACCAGTTACCTGTCCACGTCCATTTTGTCAGTACCCCGGAGGACTGGGGATGAGGGAGGTACGACCCAGTGGGGCACAGGTGTCCCCGGTCCTTCCTTTATAACTTCAGCTTAGTTTTCTCAACCGGCCTTCCTGCTCAGAGACCATTGCCTTGCCGCCACCATGCCCTGCCCATATCCCCTCAGCAGCCTTTTGACTGAATAGCTGCTTTTGGTATCTAAATGGTTGATGGAAACGTAGGATGTGCTTCCATTTCTTCGAGTCATGGGGTGTTGCTGGGAGGGCTCTCCCAAGTTTGGAGATTGGGTGGGTGATGGCCCTGCTGGCTGCCTTGTTGTGACTTCAGTTATGGCCAGGGAGTAGGAAGGCAGCAAGGTGGCAGTATGGCAATAGGAGTTGTGCCAGAAGCAGTGGCCGATCCTACCCGCTGTAGGACAGGGTAAGGTCTGAAGAAGGGAGCCTGTGATTCTGCTGTAATGATAATGCTCAAGAAGTGCCTCGAGTCAGTGCACAGTGCCATGGCCATCAAGATTTCCAAATTTCAGTTCTCCTTACGACATTTAGTGATCAGCTCGTGCGTGAGCTACCTTCTGTTCCCCCTCTATATCGCGAACTGTCCCACTTAGACTGTTTTGTGAAACAAGATGGCCTATTGCCAATTAAAATGCAGAACAAAATCAGTATCCCAGTAGACCTGTCATATCAAGAGTTTATTTTTATCCTTGCACCGAAAGAGTGATTATAAGTCAACTGTTTCTTTTTGTTTCTTGACTGTGGCAGTGTTCTGGCTCCAAATGATGGAATTTCCAAACAGTGGTTCTGTTACAGCTTGGCAGGAAATGCCAATTCAGATATTTTTGAGATCCTAAAGAATAGGTCTGGACATGTAATCTGTAGCTTCTTGAGTGTGATTAAGAACGCTGAAATACCCACGGGCCCCTTCCGGCAGTGCTGGGATTCTAAGTCATTCTGAGGATTGTCAGTACATTCAAGCTTTTCCACACCATTATGCAATCTTACTTGTAATTGTAAACTTCTAAGAATGTGGTTAATAATATTCAACCTGTTTCTTAAAACTTAAAAAGAACTTAAGTGAATTTGTTTTTATTTTTTAACAAGATTTATGAATTGAATATCGTGAACCGTGTTTTGATATCCCTTTTTCACCTTGTGCCAATGGAATGGGGTGTTTGATATTTCTTTCTATGTCAAGGAGATGCTTCAAAATGTCAATTGCTTTAAACTTAAATTACCTCTCAAGAGACCAAGGTACATTTACCTCATTGTATATATAATGTTTAATATTTGTCAGAGCATTCTCCAGGTTTGCAGTTTTATTTCTATAAAGTATGAGTGTTATGTTGCTAAATTACTCAAATGGTACTGTATTGTTTATATTTGTACCCCAAATAACATCTTCTATACTCTCTGTTCTCTGTATTTTATTGTATCCGTGCAAAATTCTTTTGGCTTTTACCAGTGTAACCTCTGCCCTTTCGGATGTGTACAGAAAATGTCCATGTAAATTTTCATTTAAGTTGAATGATTTTGAGAAACCTATAAAGAGGAAAGAAAAACAAAGACGACATTTCCCCAGAAGTTTTTAAAAATTGTATATTGTATTTGTAGTAATATTCTGAATGAGCTGTAAATAGGAAGTAGAAGAGCGATGCTTATGTCGGGTCCTAACACTACAGTAGAGAAGTGGAAGCAATGCAAATAAATGACTTTTTTTTCCCAAGTGCTAGTGGCATCATTTAAAATTAAGTATGTATATTGGACTGAGCCATGCTGATAGGAAATGCAGTTGCTATAGACAGATACTAGAATCTTTGGATTATTCCTCAGTACAAGTTGCAACATGGTAACGGGGCTGAGAAGTGCCCACCTGCCTTGAAGGTGCATCCGTGGCGTCCTCCCACATGCGTGGGGGTGCCTGATCTGTCGGGATGGGATGGACCTGCCTCCACGTGAACTGCTTATTGTCTCTCACTCCGCAAGTTTGCTAATGTTTTGTTAAAGATGTTACTATTTTGATTCTCAAAGTTTTTTCAGTGATTTTCAAAGGAAATTGAGTGCATCCTCTTTCCTAATTTAAGGATTTGTGAGAATTGGCATTTTTTTTTTTTTTAAGTCAGTTTGAACAGTTAAGTATGCTAACTCGGCCGATAAGGAAACTGAGAAAATAGCGGTGGAGAGAGGTGATGTGGCCCCAAACTCTTGACTAACATTGAGAAAGGTTATGGATTGGATTGTTCTTGCGTTAAACACTGTCACTTCAGTTCAAAGACTGGATTTAGGGATTTTTTTTTTTTC